ACTCTAGAAAGATCAAGCACAAGATCCTGGAAGGAGATAATTTAATCCAGTTTGTACAAACTACTAGCAGGAATATTATATACGGTCCTTTGCTGTCCCGTTACCATCAAACATACTTTGCAATTTTAATTTTATTGTGGTCTATGTGAATTTGTGTGTTTGCAATTTAATATTATTCTGGTGATTCATTTACACTTAATTTTTTATCATTAATTTTTGTTTTGTCTAATGACTCAAATGATTTAGTTTTTGTAAAAAAGAGGATAGTAATAAAAAGAGAGAACAGAAAAAACATAACTTTGATTTGATGAAGAGAGATAATTTAATTATTGACTTTAATCATTATTTATTAAAATATATGAATATAAAATTCACTAAAGTTATTATTTTTAATATTTTAACATATATATAATTATAAAAAATGATATTAATATAACTCAAACACTCATTTCAAGTACATATCCGATTTTTGCACGACAGGATTATGAAAATCCGCAAGAAGCAATCGGCAGTATATTATATGTGCCAATTGTCATTTAGCGATTATTAAATTTTAAATTTTCTTCGTCAAACAACAATCTTATATTTTATACCTTTTATAATGTTCACACATATTTGTAATATATGATATATTTATGATGTCAATTCAGAAAACAAGAACAAATAAGATACACACACATAGGCTGTGTACGCTGCTTGTGCAAGGTGTAAAGCACATCATAATTAAATCATTAAACATAAACCCGAGAAAGATAAGGATGATTAATGAAACAAGTTGATCATAGATTATTATGAATTTACAATTACGCAGCCAGTAGGCGAAATGGCAAAATTGTAGACCAAAGCACATGCAAATTGCAAAGCAACTTTCACTTGTTAAATCAACCACTTGTTAGTAGTGTGGCCGAATTATGACGGAAGCTAGATTCCGTTTAAACAAATCCGATTGCATATCTCACCGAATCAGGTATAGAAAAATACTAGAAATACATTATTTTAAATTTTATTATTATTAAATAAAATTTATGCTGGCCTCACTAATAAAGAGTGAATCTAGATTAACATGAAATTTCACTGAATAATAAAATGTTAAAAAAAAATTAGTTCTTTTCAAGGCTTAGGGGGATATATAAACTCATATATGCATTCATTCCAACACCAAATATGGGGTTCTACAATATCCAATTAATTGCAAAGCGATTCCTTTCCACGGTTGTATATACCGGTCTCAACAACCCACAAAAAGGGTCGATTCGCCCATAGCACAAGTTTATAAGTGAATCCTTGACGGAGACATGGCAACAGTGCATGTTCATCAATTTGTTCATTATTATTGAGCAACATGAACACAAAAAAGATAATATTATAATATCTCCTTAATTAATATGTTATGTATAGTTGTAGTTATATATATGTTGCTAACCGTCTCTGTCTGTCTTACTCTTTCTCTTATCTCTTATTCTCTCCCTGAATGTGGGTCCGGAGAAACAATAAGAGTAGTGAGATCCAACCCATCAAGATACGGATCGAAGTAGTGGTACTTGTAGTACTGCCAGAGCGAAAAGCAAAAGCTTGCTTGCTTATATCTCCTTGTCTTCCTTGGTTACTAATCACTATGTGCAACTACAATATGTTAATCAAAGCAACGCTGAACAAATAAAAAAGGGAAAAAAAGTCCTCTCCACTTGTCTCCTCAAACCTTTCTTCATAAAATATATGATGGACACAATCGCTTTTCGCGTAAAAGTACAGCTGGAAACAATTATATTGGGATTGCATATCAAATTTGGCTTAAACATTTTGCCAATTTGCTCAATTGTTATCTTTTACAACGCTGCTTTAGCCACAACTCATTAAATAAAAGAGATTGTGATCTAACTACTTGCTTGGTGTGAATATTGTAAAACTATTTCATATGGCGGAAAGGATTTGGAACCTTTTTTTATCCAAACATATTATGATGTGATAGGCGATTAACTCATTACAAACATAGTATTACCCAAAAAAAAGAATGAAGGTCTATTGATTATCCTTAACTCAAGGAAGGTAATATAAGCTTCTTGTTTTTGGCAATGTTTTAAAACCTCGTCCCATCTTGGGATCGATCCCTTTGGGTCATTGACCCCCTCTTTAAGGGTTTGAGTTAATAGTTACATCTTACTTGCACGTTGACTTTTCTAACTTCTGAAACCCCTCGGTTGAATCCGTCACTCTCGAGTCAGAGGTCAAAGGGGTCATTGCATTTAAAAAAAAAAAATTATACATGAAATGACATCGTTTGATGTGTAAAAAAAATAAAATAAAAATCGTTGCTGCCTAGATTTAGAACTAGCTCTGAAATCTGAATCGTTTTTCTTCTTTTCTTCTGATCTTCTCTCCCAGACCCAAACCCAGTCTCCTTGTTCCGATGATCTCTTCCACCGTGCTGGTTCTTCTCTCCCCGCCGTTAATTTGTCGTGTCGCCACCTCTCCTCTGCTATTCTCTATTGGGTAAGGGATCTCTTTTCACATATTGTTGTAGGTGCATGAGAATGACAAGAAGGGCCCGACTTTGATGATATAACTTTTAATTAACTCCATTGGAATATGTGTTTTATGCTTTGATAGTTTGATACTTTTATTAGCTTGTGAATATTGACTTGTGGATGTAATTGGTTGAATTATGTTAAGTATATTTTGAATCTTTAATGAATGGTGGTTTGATTTTTTTTTTTTGAATTTTTAAATAGAATATATATTTATATTTTTTTAATGTATAAAATCGGGTCAGCGAAGTAACTTCATAATCCTCCGATTGAATCCGTGACCCCATAACCCCTTTCCACCGACAGAAACACTTAGAGGAGCTCCCTCGTCAATCACTTCCATTCCTCTCATTAGACCATCTGTAGCACTCATAGTTACAGCTCTCACTCGATTATTTCCTAATAGTTGCTGTACTTCACAAATCACGTTAATTTGTTGACCAACAGTATCTTGACCCTTACCTTGGTTGAGTCGATGGCCGGGTCAAATTTTTAAACACTGATTTTTTGCATTCCGAAATCTAGCATTTGTTAGTTAGTGTGACTATAGTATCCGACTTTTTGTATCTTCGATAAAAAGGCAGTTACCACTTCTGCTATTGCTTAAGTGACTTTTACTTGACTCTTCAAATATATGCGTTTGTTATTTACCTTTCCCCAAAACCAAAAATAGTATACCATAAATCTATAATTAAAATTAAATGTAACAATTTAAATCACATAGAAAAAGTAATTAATGGCTAAACACTAGATATTATATAAGAAACCAATCATATTTAAATTCGTACTTAAGCAACTAATTAAGCAACTGTCATTGTGATTCAAAATGTTGGGCTATTTAAGTATAATACATTAATTCATAATGGACGAAGTAAAGCGTATATAAGTAAATGGACTTATGAATTTAATGTCTTAAAATTTTCAGTTATAAACTTAATCTGTCTTATACAGGGGTGTGAAAGAACAATATATTATTAACTTTTGTAACTCGTTTGAATTCTGTACTAAATAGAATTCCTTTTAAAGGGAAAAAGGTCATTTAAGATAATATAATTAAAATTTTAATTTATTTAGTTTAATTTTTTAGATACTCTACAACTAATTAGACATTTATTTTTGCAGTAGAACAAAATAATTTTCAGGTAATGCCATGTTATTTTATTTTTAAGAAAATCTTACAAACAATAATTCAAAATTAACTTTAACAAGTGAGATGGGATTCATAAAATTATAAAAACATATCTACACTTGTAATTCAAAAAGTGTTTCCTTATAATATTTAAATAATTCAAAATTTTAAAATATCTTTTTATCGCTAGTTCTTTTACAGTCATGTCATTAAGCGTCGGCTCACTTTTCGAATATGAAATTAATTCTCATTCAAAAGTAAGAATTCACCCTGGCCTAAAAGTGCTTTCCGTGTAAAAGAAAGAAATAAAACAATCAATCAAAATGATTTCCTCCATTAATTTTGATTGTAGTTGATAAGATCTTATCAAATAATAACATATATATCAAAATCGAAAGAAAAAGACATTGTCTTTTTCTATTATCTTTTTCTTTTGCCATTGTTACCTAGAAGCAGGTAATAATCCCATGGCCATCCAATGACTAGCTGGTGCTAAGTTTTGAACCTCAACTTGTCGCATTGTAAGAGTACCACATTTGTCATTTGCATTGAGGTTCACCAAAAGCGTTGTTGGTGGCAATGAAAACAAAGTCCTTTTCCTGAACTCTTTCCTGTGTGGTCCAATAAGGACGAGGCCACTTGGGTCAACTTTTTTCATTGGGACCCAAAAGATGGGTCATTGAATCAAACCTTGAAAGTTGAAACAATATAAGGAACCTTCACAATATCTTAGTGGGTTTGCGGGGTCCTTGTTAAGGGGGAGCTAGCAACAATCTATTATTTACATATATATGCTTTTATATAAAAAGAATATTGTTTCTCATGTTATATGAGATAAATTATCTCAGTTAACATATAAAAAGATAAATTTTTTTATTTATTTATTTTTCTTCTTTTAATGAGTTTCATCTAATTTTTTATGTGTTGCATGAAATAATTTAAGTTATATAACACGGGAAGAAATATCTCTTTTTATAAAACGCATGCAGCTGCCAACAGGCACTTTGTGCTTCGTTTAAAGTCCAATTGAAAAGGACCAATCTTGATATACCAAAAGGCTCCGGCAGTGGAGGATCCATATATATGCTTCTAAATCTATATCTAACAAGAGGATAAAAAGTTAAAAGCCAAATCCGGGATAAATTAAACACCCTTAGGAATATTCAATCTAGTAACCAATCACCAAATAATAATAATAATATATAATAGTTTCATAATCCAATCAAAGCCTGATACCATATCCTATATCACATAAACTTCCCTATATATATATAATCCCCTAGCTAGGAGGATAACCACCCTCAAGCTCCAACTAACTCATCAAGATCCCCAAGAAACAAACAAACATGTATGCTTCTACTTCCTTTACTTCACAGATCGTCCATGACCTTCTTGTGGACTCACACTCAAGAAGGTTACTACTTCCAAACTCACTTCACCAATCAGCCAACGCCCCAGCAGCTTCCACAAACAGCCACAATTCAACGAGTTTTTACCTCGGAGATCGTGAATTCGATGCAAACGTTGTCATGATACTCTCAGTCCTATTATGTGCTGTTATTTGCTCACTTGGGTTGAACTCGATCATAAGGTGTGCCTTAAGGTGTTCAAATATAGTCATCAATGACGACTCTTCAAGTGCTAGCAATAATAACCCTTCACCAAGATTGGCCAACACAGGAATCAAGAAGAAAGCTCTCAAGTCTTTCCCTACCGTAAGTTACTCATCGGAGTTAAAGCTTCCAGGTTTGGACACAGAGTGTGTGATATGCCTCTCAGAGTTCACCAGTGGTGAACGTGTTCGCATATTGCCAAAGTGCAACCATGGTTTCCACGTCCGTTGCATTGACAAATGGCTAAGTTCACACTCATCTTGCCCTAAGTGTAGACAGTGTCTCATTGAGACTCGAAAGATTGTTGGATCTAAACCACGTGTGTTGCCAGTGCAAGAAACCATTATAAGGATCGAACCACTAGAACCAGAAGGTTTGGAGCGTAACTATAGGGAAGTATAAATTAACTTACTACTCTCTTTGTCAATGGCATAATGGTCCTATATATGCTTCGAGTTAGCACTAGAATACCTTCAGTTTTGGTTCAGCCTGAAATTGCTAGCTAGCCAATCCAATCAACCATAATCAATTCAGTGGTTATTGGTGAGTCGAGTGTTAATTTGTTGCAGCTGAAACTTTCAATTGCTTTAATTGTAAAGTAAACTAGTTAAATATGTAACTGTATTCTTTTCAATAATATTCTGAAGTAATTACTTGAACCCAGGAATCTATATATCGTGTATTCAATAAATTTAATTTTAATAGGTCTCCAAATTAAATGAGATTTACAAAAAAAAAAAAAAAAAAAAAAAAAAAATAATGCAAGTGAATTTCTCACACATCAAGAAAAAGTTCTTTGTTCAATGGAACACCTATTAAATGTCTCTACCACTTCAATTATATGACCTTTATCACCATTTCAATTTTATGCGTAAATATAATTTGTGTGAGTATTATGTACTCCGACTCTTTAATGGGAGCAAACCAAGTCAATTAGGGAAATGATAATGTTCTCAAATATGTTAGTTTTTAAGTCTAAGAAACATGGTTAGAAATAGTATTTGATAAAATCATTTTATTTTTCTTTCTAGAAAATAAACCGGTAGATCATGAACACAAATTAACATGAATAAAAAATATTTTTTTCTTTATTCCCTGACAAAATATTTATTAAATACATATGTCGTATAATATATTATCATGATTCAATACATACTAATTATTAAATACATTGTTTATTAAAAGTATATATATTCTCTTTAAATTATGATATCAAACACATTTTTTTGTCAAACTAAGCACAAAAAATAAAAATATTTCTTTATTTCCAAAATTAAGGTCAGAGAATAACATTGTTGTCGTGCAAACCCGTAGTGTTTTATGTATGCTTGCGAGACATAAAGTACACATTTTTTATTAAGGCTTTGTTTAGGAGTTTGGAGGGGAGGGGAGGGGAAGGAAGGAAAGAAAATTAAAAGGTATTCCCTTCCCTTGTTTGGGAGTTAAAAAATAATAAATGAGAAAAATTGAGGGTTAATGAGATATTTTTACCATTTTACCCTTATTTTAAAATTAATATAATTATTATATTTTACGAATTAAATTAAATTTAAAATTTCTAACAAAATTATTTATGTACTTTTCACAACACAAAAAAAAAATCTTATTTTCGATGAAATTTTTACGTTGCAAACGATGAAATTTTTATCACAAAATTATTTTTTTCGTCGGAATACTTTTCGTCGAAAAGAGACAAAAATTTTCAACCGATGAAAATTTGTACAAAAAAAAATTTTCTATCAAAAGTTTTGACGAAATTTAGTTTCCATCAAAAGTTTTTACGAAAATGATTTCCTCAATTAAATGTTTTAAACGAAAAAAGAATTTAGTCAAAAACTTTGACGGAAAGTTTTTCGTTCAAAATTTCGATAGAAAGAAAATTTCGACAGAAATTGTTCTGTTAGAGATTTTAAGGGAAATGTTTCATTCGAAACTTTCGACGAAATTTCAATTCTGTAAAGAGTTTTGACAGAATATTTTTTCCGTCAAAAATTTTTACGGAAATATTTTCTGTCGAATTTTTTTGAATGAAATGCGTTCCGTTGAAAATTTTGATGGAAATATTTTTTATCAAAAAATTTGACGGAAATATTTTTCGTCGAAAATTTTTGATTGAAATGTGTTTCGTTAAAAATTTTGACAGAAATTTTTTTTGCCAAAAAGTTTAACGAAAATGTTTCCGTCGAAAACTTTCGGCAGAATTTAAATTCTGTTAACAATTTTGATGAAATTTTTTTTCGTCAACAATTTTCGATAGAAATGTGTTTCGTTGAAAATTTTGATGGAAATATTTTTTGACAAAAATTTCGATGAATATATTTTTTTATGAAATATTTTGCAAAATTTAGATTTAGTAAAGAATTTTGACAAAAAAAAATTTCCGTCAAAATTTTTTACAAAAATATTTTTAGTCTCAAATTTTGATGAAAATATTTTTTGTAAAAAATTTTGACGTAATTGTTTTACGTCAAAACTTTTTGATGAAAATGTGTTTCGTCAAAATTTTGGACAGAAATATTTTCGTTAAAAGTTTCGACAGAATTTAAATTCTATCAATAATTTTGACTGAATTTTTTTTTTCGTACAGAACTTGTGTTAGTGATTATAGCAAAATATGGTTCCGTTTCTAATTTATTCTTTAGTTTTGACGGAAATTTTTTGACGTATATGATTTTCATCAAAAATTTCATCACTATTTTTGACGAAATTTTTTTTGCCAATAAATTCTGTCGGTATTTGAGACTTTTCTAATAATATCGCATTTCAAAATGAGTCACAATTATGTAGTTTTAATATTTTAATGCTAAGTAATTTTTAATATTTCCCCTCTCAAACCTTCCAAATTGGGGGAACTTTAATTTTAAGAAGAAGGAGAATTTTGAAAAATTTAGTAAAAATCCCCAAATTTTTCCCTTCCTTTTTTTTTAACTCACAAACAGAGAAGGGCTTACTAAAATCCTCCCATTCCTTTCCTTTCCTTTCCCTCCTACAACCAACTCCCAAACAAAGCCTAAAACTTTTGAGAAATTAGGGGAGACCCTGGTCCCTGGCCTGTAATTTAACTACTTCCGGACATAATTAATTTCTCGAAATAAAAGATCATGCATGACCACAAAAGTTGTAGGACAAAGAATTCAAAGATTTAAACAAACTGCAGTTGATCATCCCCTCTGCTCGTTGATCAACAGAATCCATGAAATGGTTGCTAAACCATGGAGGGTCTTGTTCTCTCATATAAACAGGGAAGGAAATGAAGTTGCTAATTGGATGGCTACTAAGGTGGACCAAAGATCTTGGGATGTTGTTATTGTTTCCAATGTTCCCTTGGATTGTAGGCTGCTTGTTGAGAAGGATCTGTTGGGGGTTAGAGCCTTCAACAGTCCTTAGTTTGTTTCTGTTTGTTTTGTTTTGATTTCCCTAATATCCAAAAAAAAAAAAAAAAAAGATTTAAACAAACTCAATGAAGCATCACAAGAAAAATATGGCTGGCACTATTGCTGCTTACATCAATGTTAGGAGTAATCGAATAAAATACACAACCAGTTACCAGGGTCTTAAAAACATTTGCTTACAGTAAGTGTCATGTGAATAACATTCTTGATGAACCCCTGAATTGCTACCACTAGACTCCATCGAAAAAGAAAAAAGAAAACAAAAATACAAAGTAGAGTACTTTATCCAGTCACGGGAGCATATAAAGAATGGAAAGCTGACGCAGAAAACCACAAACCAAATTTCCAATCAAATAAGTCTACAAAGCGGAAAGCGTTGTAATATAGTACTCACACTCACACAAACTATCTCACTGCCAACACTATCCCGGGCAGCTGAACTTTGATTTGCTAAAGCTCAACGCATTATATATGCTGTCTTTGGTTGCAGCATAATATGGTAAATGTGATAGGTGAAAGCAGGCCATTAGCGTTGAAGCAAATTATGAGGTTGTTATGATTGGAAGTTGGGAACTGCAAGAGCAAATCAAAAGTAAAGAAAATAAAATAATACCCGGTATAAATACATGCATGATAGATAGAAGAGAAAGTTGGGGATAAGCAAGCCAGATTAAATGCGCTTATTCACACATTAAATGATTTTTTCGCCCCTTTTACTAGATCTTCCCTAGATTTCTGCAATTGAGTGGTGGCTTAAAGGTATCTTTACATTATTTTTATACCATGCTTTTTTTGGGCAAAGAAAGATATTGAAAACGTGTATTAGACATGATAATGGGTATTAGAAATTTAGAATAACTGTTTTTCTTATTTTATTATTTTAAAAATAAATAAGTCATACTTACAATTTTTTTACTTATAATTACTTTGTTATCATTAGACTAAAATCAAATTAATAGCAAAAAGAATTTATAACTATAATATTTCCAAAAAATATTACGACTTACCAGTTACCACTACTAAAAAATGCCCTTTTTTGGACGGAAAAATTCTGTAAAAAATAATAAAAATTCTGATGAAAATAAAATTTTCGATGAAATTCAAGCAGTCGAATTTCTCTTTGTTAAAAACAATATTTTCGACAGGATTATATATTTTGTCAAAAAATTTCAACGGAATTAATTTCGGCCGTAAATTTGCGACGAAAAATGAATGAAACTCCGTTGTAAACTCTCAGTGCGTGGCTTCACTTTTCGGGTTGCAATATAATGAAATAAGCACTTTATTCAATGAGTTAGGGTAAACCTGCTTGAATTTAATCTGGCTTTGGGCAAGGTGAAGTTTATCACTTTATCCGATGAGTTAGGGTAAACTATGTTGTAAACTCCCGTTGAGCTTGTTTGGATGGACTTTTCTCTCTCCAAAATCTGCTCTCTTTTTCTCTCACTATGAGTTCGTTTGGACGTCTACTTTAAAAAAAAAACAAAGTCAGACAAAAAAAGCTAAAAGCCTGCTTTTTTTTGGAAGTTAAAAAATTTATTTTCTAAAAAAAACAAAAGTCAAAAACCAAATATTTTTTTCAAAAATTAAATATATTTTTTTAAATTCTAATTAGCTTTAAAGCACTTCTAAAATAATTAAAGCATAAAAGCTGCTTTTTTTTAAAGGCCAAATAAACGGGCTCTAATAGCAATTAGAACGAATTTATAGTTGAACACTTTATAAGAATTTGTTATCCTTTGTTATTTCGAATAAAATAGCATATGATATTATTAAAGAGAAAAGGACGTAAATAATTTTTTAATATTACTAATTAATAAAAAAAATTCTCATTAAATCCCGACTAACTAGAGTGAGGTGAAAACAATCTTTGTATGTAGGTTTATCTTTGCATAATTGTGAAGGGACAATTATTATTCATAATATGTATCAAATAAAAAATTATTTTTCATAATAGGTTAGTGCAAAAAAAGAAATTTATCTTTTAATCCAAAATTATTCTTTACATGTTTTAGCTTTTAAGATTTGTTTAATATAGGCTGTAATTAATTTATCATAATACGAAAGTTCTAATTAGTCATATTTTTTTTATTATATCGACTCTAATTATTTTTTTGAGGTGAGTCAGTCTTTTGAATATTCCTACAAACTTGCTTTGAACCGATTATGAGATTAATCTTAAGTCGGGACTTAGTTACACTCACAATTAAAGCTCGTCGCCTTCCCCAAAATATATTTGGTGAGAATTAGATCCAAATCTTCTTCCTAACTACTCAACCTGTGTTGACCCATTGGATAATTAGTCCTAAATTTAATTCAAAGAGGAAACTATTTTACTCGAACCAAATTGGCCCATTTTTCAGCACTAGTTCGGTCATTCCAACTAATATACTTACAGGCTAGGCTAAGCTAGGCTTTGACTTAAGTAAACCAAGCATGTGCAATCAATATTGGGTCTGGCCTGGCCTATTAGCCTGTGTAGGCCCCGAATTATAAGTCTGGTCTGACTTATATTTAAAAACTAAAAGCCTTGACCTTGGCCTGTTAGCCTGTTTAAGCATATTAAACATTCAACAATTAAAAAAGTAACTAAAATAATATTACTTTATTATTCAAATTTATTAAAATAATAACTTTAATTATTTTATTTAAAATAAATAATATGATATATGATATAGGTCGGCTTGTAGACTTATAGGCTCAAGATGTACAAAAAAAGCCTATGGCCTATTTTCTAAATAGGTTTTTTTAAAAGTCTAGACCTATTCTATTTTACTATTTGTAACAGGCTAAGTTTAGCCTAATATAAGCTAGGCTGTGCACCCCTAAAAACCGGCTTAGCCCATTTACACTCCTATTTACACCGGCCTTTATAGATTTGGTCATTACAATTTACAAGCACAAATAAAAAAGAGTAGAATGGGCCTACTAAAGAAAGAAAAAGAGTAGAATGGAATGGGCCGATGGACTGGCCCAGCCAACTAATAACTCGCATTGATATGACTGGACTCATAAAACAGTAGGATAAAACCTATTAAGCCCGATTTAGTAAAGACCAAACCCTAAAGCTATACGACTGAATTAGCTTTGGGCTCACCCTGGCCCGATTTTAAACACACAACTTTATATAGCTACAACTGCAAGAAATATGAAGCTCAAATCAAATGATAATAGCAGTAGATATGAGTATGATAACATGTGTTCGATTTTTTTCAATTTTATCTTTGAAAAAAAGTTTAAAGCTTTAATTCTGTAACAGCATTGTCCCCAATAAAAAATACATATGTTTTATTAAAAAAAAAAAAAAAAAACACGAAGAGCTAACTCTTGTTTTTGAAGTGGGACCTAGAGTATGATACACCATATAAACTGCTGAAGTGTTCTACAAATGACATAGATGACAACGTTTGCCAATTGGGAGCGAGGCAATCTCACCTTATCCACACTCCAACCACAATCTTTAATTACGCTCTTCATCACATCACTCCTTATCACATAGCAAAAAGAAAAAGAAAAAAAGAAAACAAATAAAATAGAGCCACAAAGACAAAGCACACCATCCTAGCCAGTTAAATCAAGTTGATTTTCTTTTCAACTCTGATCAAAATCATAAAACTTGCATCCATGGCTGCCATGAACTCCACTGTCTTGGCTTGTAGCTATGCTAGATCTGTTGAAGGATGTTACGACCTCAATGCAAAGCTCACTTCCATGGCTTCAGTTGCATCACCACCACCTGTCTCTGGTCACAAGTTGCATATGATAAAAGCCCAGCAAGCCAGAGTTCCCCAATACAAAGAATCAAAAGCAAACGAAGGAAGGAGAAATGCCCTTGTTTACTTGGCAGGTACCCTTTTCACCGCTGCAGCTGCTGCTTCAAATTCTAATGCCAATGCTGGGGTCATTGAAGAATACCTTGAAAAAAGCAAGGCCAACAAGGTCTATTCAATCTCTCACACAGTCACGGTTACCCTTTTTTCTTTTGGTATTTTTGACATAATAATTTAACTAGTTTAATGTGATCTTCGTTGCTATAGGAACTGAATGACAAGAAGAGGTTAGCTACAAGTGGGGCAAATTTCGCGAGAGCATACACTGTGCAATTTGGCACTTGCAAGTTCCCTGAGAACTTCACTGGTTGTCAAGATTTAGCCAAGCAAAAGGTATAGCCTACGTTATTTGCTTTCCCAAGGTTTCACTCTCTCTCTAATTCTCTCTTCTTCTTCTTCTTTTCTCCTTTTGTTTTTTATTTCTGCAGAAAGTGCCATTTATTTCTGATGATTTGGAGCTTGAATGCGAAGGAAAGGACAAATACAAGTGTGGTTCTAATGTTTTCTGGAAATGGTGAAAGGGGCAACATTTCCCGGCCAAAAATTATTTTCCTGTACTAAACTAAACTTCTCCTTGATAATACGCCATTTTTATTTTTATTTTTGCTGTACTTTTATTATTATTGCTGTTAATGATCTTCTGAATCCTATAAAACGAAAATGAAATAAAATAAAAATAAACCAGACTCCTTTCCTTTAGTTTGGTTGAATTGCATCAAGCCTATCTAAATGCAATGCGTTTTTTATTTTTCATTTTTAGAAATAAAATGCAAATTTTTTACTATTAATCATTTTTCTAAGGTTTTTGTATGTAAGATTAGGGGTGTTCGTGGTCTACATTGGATCGGTTTTGAAAGCAAAAAATCATCTGATCAATTCCTTTGGTTTGATCATGTAATCATTCGTTCGGTTTGAAATTTTTTTTTTAATTCGATCCAATTCAATCCAATTTTATTCGATTTGGATTTGATCGATTTTTGATTTTTTGAAAAACCTAAAATTTGTATGATGATTATTGTGCAAGTAATATATCTTTTGTATGTATTGGCTTTGTAAAATTTGTATAATAATTACTATGCAATATAGAAGTATCATTAAACAATAATCTAATTTTCAATATAATACAACCTGTTGGATAAGAATGAAAATTAGATAATAACAAAGTAAGAAAAATTAATATCAATTACTAATACAGAGATCTTAAAACAATTTTTTATTTCAAATTTTGGCACATAAATTTTATAATAGTATCACATTCACGTGAAAATTATGAAACTAAATAAAAACAAATTCTTAACTCAATTCAAATGCTATACTTATGTAGCAAAAAATTCATACTTTTGTAGTATCCTATTCAAAGGCTAAATCATAATAATGGTAGTAACGGAAACTTGCTAAAATGTAGTAATAAATTTTCTTAGGTTTAGTTGATGTGTTAATGGATCTTGGGTTTAGAATTTTTTGGATTATGATTGAGGAATAGGCCCAAGTAGGTAGAAGAGATTAATATATTGGATCGGTTTTTATCAACCAAATCGAAAATCTATTCAATACAATTAAAATTTACAAAAAAAAATTATTTTCAGCTTTTTAATTTTTGGTTAGTTCTGTTATCAAAGGTTTGAATCAGTTTGGATTGAACACTCCTACAAGATAGATCTCACATTTCGAATTGAGCATGCAAAGTCAAAGAAAAAGGATGTGGATAATGTAAAAAAAAAGTTAACAAATTTACATTACATAAGTTTTAATGTGAATTTTGTAGCTTTTTTTTATTAAAGTTTTATAACTTTTTTCTTCTCTTTCTGTGTCACATTTTCCCATCTGTACATTTTTTTTTTCTCTCTCTTTTTGTTACATCTTATCTCTCTTTTTCGCACGTAAAGCCTGCGTTGAAGTTGGAGTCGTGGTTTTATTATTGTTGTTATTATCATAGTATGATTTTTTTTTTGAAAGAAAGGGCTTAACAACCCATAAACAAATTAAACAAAATGAACATTTTTAATGTTAGTGACAACACAAACATCAGCAAAAAATAAATAGTTAAGTCCAGGAGGAACATGACTAAACTCTTTATAGACAGAGGTCTGAGTAAGACATATCAAATTGTTGGCTAACCAATCAGCACACTGATTTCCTTCATGGTGAATGTGTTGAGCCTTGAGTTCCCAATCTTTGTTCATCCAAGTCCGAATACGAGTAACGATATGCGACTCTCGGACAACATTATCTTTGTTGGTAAGAACGTGATCACCGAAGTGGAGTCACTTTCAATTATAAGTTTTCTAAATCCTTTGTTTCAAGCAAATTCCAATCATTTCAGAATATCCCATAATTCCGCCATAAAAGTTGATGCAATGTCCACATGATAAGCAAAACCCCCCAGCCATTGACCATCTCAACCTCTACATAATCCCCCACAAGCTGTTACTCCTAGAGACCCTTTGGATGCACCATTTGTATTTAGTTTAATCCAGCCTTGATCAGGTGGCTGCCATGCTATTTGAAACTGAACTAACATGCCAACCTTTTTTCTTTTGCCATTTGTAGGAACTATAGGGTTTATGCGGAAGCGGTTTAGGACCTAGTACATTGGTATGCTTACCGAATCATCCTCGTTTCACAATCACCTCTTGATGCGCAGATTTCATGTAGAATCTTCCCTTGTATGATTCCTCTTCACGAACGGCTCACCTCAGCGCCGCAGCATGAACAACCTCCTTGAAGCTGAACTGTGGCAGATCTTCCAGACTATGTCTCAAGGGGAAACGGGAGGTGTATGGGCACTCTCTCACTTTCAGGGAGATGACCTTACCTCAGCCTCTGCAACCACCAAGTGAAGACCAGAGAGGCTGATGACTATAAGAGTGGAATATATATGGGTTCCAAGAAACTCTAGCCCTAAGCAGAATGAGCTTTAGGTTTCTTGGGCTCTTCTTACACTCTAGACCCTATTGGGCTTTGGTGAAAGAGCAAAACCCAACACCATTATCACTGAATGCTTGTTCTATGTCCATGGCCATACGATGCACCTTCTTCACGATAAGATTTTCACTACGACCATCCTTTCCATGATAAACGGCGTTCCTCTCATTCCATAGCTCCCAACAGGTTAGTAGGAATATCGTTTCCCAATTTAGGCTAATGGGTCCCTTCCTATCATTACTTATGCTGACAGACACCCAATCCACCCAATTCATTTCATAAAAAACAGCTTGTCGCATACCTGTTAGCAGTTCATTCCACACTCTTTTAGCCATGGCACAATCTCTCACCACATGCATTTCTAAGTCATATGCTCTCTCACATCTAAAACAAATTGAATTCGCATCTGACCACTTAGCAGCCCAAGCTCAAGTTGGTAGTCCCCCGCGTATAGTATGGTTTGTAATAACTACAGTTAGGCGCACTTATCAGCCTTATAATTCGACAAAAGTGTTGAGCCCATATCCAGTTAAATGAAGATTATTACAGTTACTTTTGAGCCCACGTATTTGATAACCAATATCAACGCGAACTGCAATGCACTTTCAACACATTCATGCATATAATTAAGGCCATGTGATATGTGCAAGATAAAAACTAAAAGATACCATTGTCAATGCTTTTTTTTTTTGGAAAACAAGACATTGTCAATGCTTTTAGAAGCGGCGTTCTCTGCCTTGGGCACAAAATGTTACTTTTACAATACTTTTATTCCAACATTATTATATTACGTCCTTTTTAAGTTTAAACAAAAAGAAAAGAAAATTTCCATTATATACTCTTTTTTATTTTATTTTTGGAAAATATATGAGAGTAGTTCTCTCATATTGTAGAAAGAGTTTAAGTGGAGCCACCATTAAAAAGAAAAAAAAGAAAAAGAAAAAAGAAGGAATGCGATTTCCGAAATAAGAGAAAATGAGATAACTATATCATGTAAAAAGAAAGTAATATTTTCTTTTATTTTTTCCTCCTCAAACAAGAAAATATAAGTGTAACAGAAGATAAAAAAATGTTAATAATCATTTCTCAATTGCTCAAATTCCCAGAAGAAATAAATATTTTGTTCTGCCCAATGCCAGTTTTTAAGTTCTAATATTGTTCTAGGCCTGTATAATGTATATTAGACTCGTAATGTGACCAATCTTTCATTTATTTCTCAATTGCCCACATACTTTTATTATGGGACTGTTCATTTGACCCATAACGCGTCCTTGGTTTCAACCAACAAAACTTAAATCATTACAAATAGAGGCTCAGCAATTTAGTACACATTTTTTTTTTTTGTATTTGTCATTTAACATGACATAATAAAATTTTCTACACACACAATATTTTGTGAAAAAAATTACGACACGCAAAACGAATCTCTATAACATTACACAATTACTTTTCCTACAACATAACTCTTAAAAAATCATTTTTTTTTTCTTTTTTTCTCATTTGCATAGTTCGCTTCATTTATTGAAGTTCCTATCTCTTGTCACCAAACGTGAAGGAGCCTCCCACAATTATTTAGCTCCGAACACTAGAACATTAGCTTGAATAATCACCTGAACCTTGTCATATCGTAAAGTTTGATTGTGAGATTAGTCTTATATATAAGGTAGGGTTCTTTGACATCAATGTCAAATTTAAAATTTGACACCTTATCTGAAAGTCGATCAAAAAAGATCGACGACTCTGATTTGTAAGCATGCTACCTATATATATATATATATATAGGGTAAAAAATTTCTCCAGTCAATGGAGATAAGTTATCTCCAGTGAGCCCAAAACGACGTCGTTTTGGGGCGAAAATGAATGTGTTTTTGTAATTATAATATATTGCAGGGTTATATTAGTCTTTATCATTATAATTTTTTAATCTTATAACCCAAAACGACGTCGTTTTGAGTTCACTGGAGATAACTTTATGTCCTGCGATTGGAAAAATACTTTTCCGATATATATATATATATATATATATATATATATGTGTGTGGGAAAAACATTTCTCAAGCAGCTTGAGATAAGTTTATCTACGGCTACCTCAAAATTACGCCGTTTTATTTATTTATTTCCTTATATTAATTGATTCACCTTTAAATGGTTATGATTTCCTTTTTCTCTCTCTTCCTTTATCACCATTGATCCATCTTTGAATGATTATGATTTAGTAGCCAGAGCATGGTTGTTAAAATCTCGATTTATCACTACGATTTTATCAATATTCCAAACGCTTTTATATTTTTACGATTTCTTACGATTTTTTTACATTACGATTTTACGTTTTACTATTTTTTAGCCCTATTCTGATTTTACTTAAAACCTCGATTTTAACAACCTTATGCCAGATATAAGATTATCTCAAGCCGCTTGAAAAACGATAAGCCCATATATATATATATGAGATATTATATTGTTATTATTAATTAGTATTACTATTAGAGGAATGTTATACTTACAACCTTTTTTTTTCATAACCTCTTACAACCATATCTTAGCACCATTGATTTCCGCCAATCAACGGTTATCATTTATTATGAATTAATAATTAATTAATGAGTTTAATTTGCGAAAATAATAACCGTTGATTAGCAAAAATCAACGGTGTTAAGATATGATTGTAAGAGGTTGTAAAAAAAGGTTGTAAGTATAACATTCCTATTACTATTAATATCATTACTAATTTATTTTACCATTAGATCGATTATGTGAATCTGACGGTTTTGATTTAATTTTCTAAAAATCTTCT